ATTAAGCTTCCTTCTGTTTACTCTAAACTAGAGATTAGCTTGATTATTATGAGGGTGCAGAAGCAGAGAGGAGAAAGGCAACACCATCAGCTACTCAATCTCAAACATGGCCAGATTTTCAATTATCTGTGATCACATATCCTGTCCCCTCCCTGCTCTTAATATCTACAGCCAGTACCAAGCAATTTACCTAGACTTATGCAAAATGAAAGGAAGGTAAGCAACAAAGGCAAGATAACTACAGAGCAAAATGAATGTATGAACAAGATTAAAATTCTGTTTAGGTATTTGAGGACAAACCATAGAAATCTGGCCAAGAATTAATAACTTAGGTTGTTTCCATCTGACACGTCTTTAGTTCTTATTTGAGATCCTCTTCCAAAAAGAATGTATGAAATAATTGAGGGGCATTCCTCAGATTGGCTTTTTCATAAATCCTCAGGGGAAAAAAAAAAAAAAAAATCCATGCAAATGTCCTTAATTTCAATTGTCCTGGTTTCAGATGGCGCAGAGTTAATTTCTTTTCAGTAGCTGTTATAGTGCTGTGCCTTGGATTCAAAAGAAACTGGGAGGGAGCAGAGCTGGGACAGGTGGCCTGAACTGACCAAAAGGAGATTCCGCTCCATAGGATATCATGCTCACTAGGGAGACATTTGGGGTGATGGTGTTTGTCTCCCCAAGTCACTGTTACACATGATGGGGCCCTGCCCTCCTGGGGATGGCTGAACACCTGCCTGCCCATGGGAAGCAGTGAATAATTCCCTATTTTGATTTGCTCGTGTGCATGGCTTCTGCTTTGCCTACAAAACTGTCTTCATCTCAAGCCACAAGTTTTCCAGTGTCGACCCTTGCAATTCTTTCCCCAATCCCATTGGTGCAGGAGTCAGCAAGTGGCTGCCTGGGACTTGGCTGCTGCCTGGGGTTGAACCATGATGTCAATACAAGATGCACTAAAGAAAGAGATTTTGCTGTGGCCAGAAGGGGTCCAAATTTCTCTGGAATGAGTCTCCAGAACAGATGAAACATTACAGATTTTTAATGCCACAGTTTCAGTTTGGGAGGTGTAAGTGACACAGGGGTTTATCTAACAAATAGACATCAAACTTTGTCAGAATAATGCTGGTCTAATTTTGGTTACCTTTGACTTATTAATCTGCTGTTTACATAGACTTACATTAAAAACTCATCCAATTAGCATCTGCAAAAAAACAACCATACTAGAGATCCAGCATTAATTAAAATCAAGACAAATTATCAAAAGCCTTACAAAAGAATATGCATACTCCACCCTGACTGGGAATTACTTTTCCAGATTCATGCATGAGTGTTAATTACCAGGCGATGCACGCTGCTATTGTTTTGACATACGACACACAGGTCCTGTACTTCCTCATTGCTTTGATTAAAAATTTGGCTCAGAGAGAAGTTTACATTGTTCCTTTTAGTAACTGCAGCAGCTACTTCCACACCACTGCAGGGCAGGAGAGGGGCTGAGCTGCTGGGGCCTGACTAGGACAGCTCTGCCCCAGCCCCATGAAGCACCTCAGATCTCCCATTAAACTGGGACCTTTTCAAGTTTTTTGGTTTAATTCTTTTTTTACACTGACCCACTCCGACCTTTTTGAATTATCAATAAAAGCTTCATAGCTCCCTCTGCTGCCAGCAAGTAGGAAATTCAGTTACTCTACAGAAAATCTGCTTGCACCCGAGAGAAAACATTGCATTCCTGTCTCTCTAAGTATATATGTGTGTAGAGTCCTTTGAAAACAAGTTTTGAGACATATTACAGGTATTTTATTTTAAGGCTAAGATTGCTGCTTTTATTGGATAGTCATTCTTACTGTAAATCAATATTGAAGACCAATAGTTAAATACCACCTTAATATGGTAATTTCAAAATACTACCTTACTCAATGTGAAAATCAAACCATATTATCACCTGAGCATTTAGCTGGATATCTAATGACACCCACGAAACAAAAATCAATTATTCAGAACAGTTCAGAGACAAGAGTTAATCTCAAACTGCTTCTGCCCTAACACTATTGTTTTTCAGTCCATCTTCCTAGGTCTTTCACAGTCCCACTGCTGCCTCTTCTCTGAACCTGCCCTCCCCAGCAGTGACTCTGCAAACCTGTCCCTCTGCATCAGGTACCAGCGAGGTTTGTTAGCTGTCTTGCTGTTGCTGTTCTGCTCCACACTGACAGCCATGAAGTGTCCTAAATCCAATGGTCTCTATTCCCCAAGACCATTTCCAGACCACCTCCACAATGGTGACGTACCAGCACAAGTGCCTCCCGTCTGCCTCTGCTGCACTTCCAACAACTCTGCAGCCCAGAAGAGACAGGACTGGGATGACTGACTGCAAATAGACAAGGGAAGGGGCCATCAGAGGGTTTACACATCTAAACCTGAGAGGTTGCACTGGTAGAAAAATGCATTTGCCACTACATCCTCCTTTGTGTTGTAGCTGCAGCTACACTCCATGCCTTGCACCTCTACAGCGCTAGAGGCTGCCTAGATAGAACTGAAGAGGTGTTTCAGTTTCAACAGGTGTATGAGCCGAAGGCTGACACAGACCCACACAAGGCCTGACATACAGAAACAGATGGCCAAGCACTACCCATGTAACTGCATCTGCACCAAGTCCATGCCACAGGGACTTGGCTTCACTTACCCAAACTTACTAGAAAAATACACCACCAACCCACTGTTTTCCTCCAGATAATTTGGGAGCCACAGATAATTGGAGGCTGCTTACTGTAACAGCACAGAGCTTTCAGATCTTGCCATTAATGTCTCTTTGAAGGCTTCTGCCACCTTCTTGCTTCCAGCACTACATGCCTGGCATCTCTCCTACCTTTTTTTGAAAGTAGAGGAACAGACTTCTACCTTCCCAAACTGTCCAGCTTCCTTTTCCTTATCCTGCTCCAGCCCTACATACCCTTTTCTTAGTTTTGCCTCAGCATATGACCTTAACCTGCCAGGAAGGAAGCTCCAAGGCTGACAGCGTGCTTTCCAGCTCTATGCAATGCTAAAAGAGAGCATCCAGAACAAGAGATAACATCAAATCATGGCTTGAGTAAAAAAAAAAAAAAAAAAAAAAGAACAGCAGCACCTTAGTGCAGGCCCCCTATCGCTGGGAAAATATATTTAAAATTAAGAAACCTACAAGTGGAAATTTCAGATGCCTGTATTTTGAGCCTAACGTCCCTCAAACAAAATCCCAAAACTCAGGATTTCACAAAACACTGAGAAAAGATTTAATTCTAAATCCATCTTTATTTGTGCAAGTCTTACATGCTGTTCATTAATATTAGATAGCCAAGACTTAACCACTCTTTCCTTGTTGACTCATTAGCAGTAGCATTAGTCACTTAGCAGGGAAAAAAAAGAACAAGCCTAAAGTGCCCAGAAACCCTAAATTAATAGATACAAATTGATTCACACATCATACTACAGGTCACAGGTGGGAGTCCTCAATGACCACTAAACAGGCAGGAAACTTAATTCCTTAGGACAGGCAGTCTCACATTCCAACCCAGCAGGCACTTTCAGCATTACCAAGCAAGCATGGCCCATGTGTTCTCTCTTCCAGACAGGGCAAATCTCATAAAAAAGATATTTTAACCCACATGATTTTGTATTAGTAGGCAGTTAAGTACAAGCACAATTCATTTGGAGGGAAAAAAAAAAAAAAAAAAAAGGAAACAAACAAACAAATCTATCTGGCACCCTTTTCTCCTGAAATTTCTTATCATGCTTTTAGTACCTATTTCCCTCTTTGGTGTCTTTCAGTTCAGCTCTGCTCACTGAAAGTGGCAGCCCCGTAACTCCAGCAGCCTCAAAAGAGCTCCCCAATTCAAGCTGCACACACACCGTCTGCAGGAATACTGGAGTCTGGAGTAATTTCTATAGACACTGCATAGCTGCAACATCTTCACTCTTAAGTACACAGGAAAACACTTGTGCTTCAGCATTCCCCCAGTACAAGAAAACAAAATCCATTTGAAAAAAATTTTGCTTCTTTTGAGGACTTGTCTATGTCAGTCCAGTTATAATAGAATTTCTCAAACTTTAATACAGAAATCCTCTTGTATTTCAATGTTTGTACATATTGTCTAATAAAAACTGTACTGCACATACTACACAGAATTTGTACGTAGAAGAAAAAAGAACAAAAAAAAATTCCTGAAAATGAGACTCACATAGTGTGTTGAATTTCTGGAAGCTTCAGCAGCAATAGTATCTCAATTCTGCCTGAAGATTAAGCCCTGGAAGGACTTTTTAATTTGTTTGTTTGTTTGTTTGTTTAATATTCTCAATATAAACCACAGCTGTATATCAACCTCTGAAATTCAAATACAGAGCTCAAAACAGACCCCACGTGATGCTGCTAGGAGCACTGAAATAATGAAAAACCCCACACCTGCAAACAGGATTGTACACTGATAATCCCATCTCAGCTAGCCACAGCCTGCTTCAAGGCTCCTTCACACTATTGAGACAGCAAAACCCATTCTTAGTGCCCTTTACAGATCACAGTCATCTGTGAGAACATAATGTAACAAATTAAGCATTGTAGTATCACAGACAGACACAGGCTGAGAGGAGACAACTGCAAAGAGCTTCCTGTCATTTGTGATTTTTCGTTACCTACCTTATGAAAAAATAAAGAATAATGTTGAGTATTTTTTAAAAGCTCTGTATCAAATATAATAAAAAGTTAAAAGTTGTGATATTTTAAATTTAAGATACCAGCTTGAGTTGAATCACAGATTTCTGTTATTGTCATTTAAATATGAAACTAAAGTAGTATTTGCAATTGTCCTTTCTGAAGACAATTAAACTGCTCTGAAGTACATCACACTATAACCTAACATTCTCATTACCTCCATAAACAAGAACTTAAGAAGCAAAAAGATTGCATTTTACATTTAGATGATGCAAAAATTAAATTTCACTCAATGGTTGAAGGCTTAAGGAAGTCAGAAGCAAGCTTAAGAATCAATACTTTTATTTACTGTTTGGTAGTATAAAAGTTGTATATAAACTATTTTGTTAAAAATACATTTGATAAGCAAACTTTAAAAAAGCAGACTAATATGGCAATATGCATACCCTTACAAAATAGCAGTGTAGTGTTAAAGGCAATGAAACAGGCAGTTTCTAAATCCTCTCTTACTTAGGTAGCAATGCATAAATTCAATTCTTGCACATATCAGATCTTATAATACCTTACATAATTACTTTATACAGGTAAACAATATTTTACATATCCAACATCTTTTCATTCCTTTTATTCTACGTATTTTCAATGGAATCAAAATAGAAACTACTTTTAAAATAAGGGGAAAAAAAAGGTATTACTGTTTAAACTTTCTTCAGTCCTTTTGCTATTTATTCGCCATACTAACATATCATGTATCAAAATACAATATCAAGACAAACTGCCCTTTTTTTAGAAGAAGCTTTGGGGACAGTCTGTAATTCTGTGTCTTCTTTCTGAAAATTATTTGAAAACTGCTGTTTTCTCCAATGCTCCCTTTTTCCAGTAACACTTTATACTCATAGCTAGCAATCTCCTGAAAACTGAAAGCTTATTACTACAACCAATACTAATTAAATCTTCTAGAAATATTCGTCTTACAAATAATCATGTGAAGCTTAATGTGTGCTTGTAAGATGAGGCTGGTGTTTGTGTTGTACTTAAATATTGAAGAGATTTCACAAGCTGATTTTAAATTTATGGGAGCAGGGAGTGCTGCTAAACACTGAAGTTAAGAGTCCCAGCCAAATTATTATTTTGGGTTCTCAAGGACAGACAATTATCTCTAAAAATATCCATATTGAAAATAACAATAAAACATTTATTATTTTCAAAGTTTGGATGGGCAGTGGTGGGTTTTATGGCAAATATAGCATCACAGAAAAGTACATATTGATAGGACCAGTCAGTATCTTGTGGATACACACAGAAGACCATCAGCAGCACAAACCTGCAGCAAGAGTGAAAAAACTTGATGCTTCCTGACAAGACATGGGAGTAACCAATACACAAGCAAGAAGAGTAATTTTGTACACACTGATTGTTAACACTGCATACATAAATCGATGAAGAAACACAATTCTCAGATATGAAGGAGAAACACAATTTAGAGTTCTTGTATTAAAAAGATTGAAGGTATCAATTTACAATAAATCCATTTCAAAAACATACACTGCTTTTCATTGAGTTCATAAAGCAGATTAAGTTATAGTTCTCAGAATATAGTGCAATCTCTACTAAAAAGCATTATATTAGAGCTTATATTCTTAGGCACTCAGAACAAATGATATGACCTTCTATTACATAGAAAAGTTTGCTGAGTTATTACAGAGATTTCTCTCCCCAGAACAAGTAACAGGACAAAGCTGAGATCATAAGTAGATAAAGAAAATTAATACCACAATATCATGGTAATTTTAGCATTAAGTAACACTTAAAATATGAAAGGAGTAACATTGGCTTAAGATTTTACTGCCAATGAATACAACTACCCTCAGTCCACTAAAGCCACTCTGAAGCACTTTAGTCTATATTCCATAAATTTTTTAATGCCCAATATTCCATATCCTTATCTAAGGCTTGAAATGCATTGCCTTAACTTAATAAGGAACTTGTGGGTAAGAGCAACAGAAGAAAAGCAAAACTATTAGGCACTCATATTTGAAGAGTGAGCAATTACAAGAAAAAGAACACAAGGCCTTGAGGAAAGCAACCTCACCAAGAGCTCATCCAACTACATACAAAAAGGTGCTCTTCAGTCTTTGTCAAGTAGTAAGGGAGAGGTATGGGTCTGGGGAACAACAATTTAATTTAGCATCTGCATATAACTGAACAGTCTCTACTTTGAGGTACCCTGCACAGAGTTCAAGGGTTTATGTATTAAAGGCACATATGCAGATTTGGCTGACATAATTATGTACATTTTACTTGGCTACAAGCAGTTAGATTAAAAGAATAATTTCATATTTCAAAGGCTGGCTTTTATCTTCAGCAAACACTTGTCAATTTTGGAGCAGGCAGAAGAGGAGAAGAAAAATCCAGATGGACTACTGGGGTGAATGCAGTTTATCCATGAGGCAATTGTATTATTCTTAATATTGAGCTTGTAAATGCTTGTCTAAGTACAAAAACAGTCTAAGACTTGATAAAGCTTTTACCTTTCCTGTCCAAAAACTTGTACGTATGTTTTCTTTCCAAGATGAAGCCATTCATTATGATGTCCACACAGCTCAATGGTATTTAAGTGCCTAAATCGCACTACTTTACTGGTCAAAAACCATTAAGTGTTTAACCTTGCAGGAATGACATCACAAAATTTGTAAAATGATACATTGCCATAAATACATTTCCCTAAATAGTATACGTCTCTTGGGAGTTTTCAGTTTTCTCCAAAGTGCTTGCAGACAATCTTCTTCTAAAAGATCCACCTGTAAGAAAAGAAAACAATTCTAAAAATAAACCTAAATAGCAAAATTAGTTTTAGGATGGACACACCAATTAAAAAGTTAGCAGGTGCTCTGAAATGGAAAAAAAAAAAGCCACAATTGCATGAAGTAATTGCCGTGCATTCCAAGTTTAGCATGTGAAATCACAAAAAGGAACTAAAAATTGAGTTAGTACTCTTGAAATGCATGGACAAACACATGGACAAAGTGACAAATCACACCACAGTGTTACACACTACAAATGGAAAATGTTACATAGCCTCAGTGTACCAGTACCAGTTTCTGTTTACCCAGTAGCTTAAAATGTCCAAGAGCTCAACTCAAAAGTTTTGACTTCAGTTGTGTATCTATTACTGATTTTATGTGCCATTAAGCATATTTGAAATAATATTAACTGGTGAAATGGAGTCTGCTGAGAACATGGACCTTGCAGACATAGAGAAGACATGCTACAACTTTCAATGATGCAGCCAGCAAGACATTAGATAAGCTGAAACACTGCAGAGGTCGCTTCAGAACAAGTCAGTTTAGGGGAAAAAAAGCCTTGGACTTGAGAGCAGCAGTGAATGCAGGCAATCAGCAATGCTACTTCACTGAGGTACTGCCCAACTCAGGAATTGCTCTTCATACAGGAACTCTCAGTAACAGGGGTTAAAGTCAGCCACAAATCTACTGCCTCTGAAGGACAGAAAAACCTTTTCTGGAACCAGTTAAACATACATTTATGTCTGCCTTCTCCCTGAAGATCTGAGTCAAATTCCCCCAAACTATAATCTTTAATCAGAAATGTATTGACTAATGGCTCAAAAGTCTCAAATGCTGTTTATTTATTAAGTTTCAGTAAATTGGGCTACAATAATTTATTAGAAGTCTGAAATAAGTAGCTGAAGTAAAAGTGTAACTACTACCTGTTTACATGTGAACAACTTCTCATGACAGTAGAGAAAAACTGATCTAGAACCATGCTAGGGAACAGCATCATACCCTTTTACAAGCAAGATCTGTTTATTTTTTGTAGTGCAAATCAACCAGACCTGGCTAGTTTCCCAGATGATTTACAAAATAGCTCTGCTGGACTGGAGAGACCATTAAAATATTCTGCTGAACCATTTCTCTGGTATTAGAACATTTGTTTTCAGAAGGGGCAAAACTCTAATCCTAAGGGGAGGTTCTATAATAAAAAGCTGCCATAGATGGACAATTTTATTTATAGCTTTACTATCATATCGCTCTAGATAACAGTTCATTTTAAAATTAAAGTAACAATGGTTTAAATTTATAGAACTTTTAGGTAATTACAGGGAATTTACAGCTTTCCTGTTTAGGAGAGGAAAGAACAAATTAGAGAGAAAACCGGAGTACAAAACATTTTGAGTGATTTCAAAATGATGGGGTTTTTTAATCAAAGTGCACTGAAGTTTATTTTCATATATGCCCTATTCTTTGTATTTCTCATGCTTAAAGAGAAGATAACTAGCTTGCCTTTAAGTAAAAAAGAAAACTCATATTATGAACAATCTGATAAGATTTCTCTATCTCCCACTAGAGATACAGAAAATAAATAAAAATAGTCACAGAACTAACAAAACAATTAGCTGGGCATGGAAACGCCAATCTAGCGGAGGAAGATGTTATCTCCTATTGTATTTAGCTAATATTGATTTTTAAAAAGGGAAGAAATAGAAACCACATCAACATAAAAAACCTTGAACACAAGGACATTATTCTGAATCAGAAAATAAGAGTACTGTTTGCCTTTTACTGACATCTGTAGATCCTGCACAAGATTTCAGTGCAACCGTAAAACAGCAGCCACTAGACACCTGTGATTTGCCAAACTGCTACAGATCAAAAAGCAAAACACTGGCATAGACACGTCTGGTCTTATAAATGCCCAGAATAAAGATGCTTATTCCAATTTCTTAATTTTTGAAACCTGAACTCCACTTCCTTGCAATTTAGCCTATCACTGTCTTCTTATTTACTGTGGGGGAAAAAAAAAATTACCTCATTACCCTCCGTAACTTTTTTATTACTTGGAAGCATACCACATCTCCAAGTCTCTTCCTCTACAGCAATATTTCAAAAAACCTGGTTATTAATGATGAGGCATAGAGGCCAGACAAATACATTCTGCTTAGTTCAACAGTTAAACCTGTGCTGCCAGTAAGGGTTGGGAGGAAGTACCCCACTGCATACCAGCTCTCTATTTTAACCTCAAGATACTGAAGGGTATTTGAGTCTTGTTGCTTTTCTAAACAGACGCAGTTTTCTCTTTTGCATTTCCCTCTTCCATTTGAGGTTACCAAGGGTTTGACACAACATAATTTTATCCTCTCTCTCAGAATACAGAGAGTTTGGCACTGTGCACTTTGTCCACTTGCTTCAAGCCCAATACCTTTAATATGTCACCTTCTTCCCTTCCACCCTTCTTCCTAAACGGTCAAGTCTTAATTTTTAATCACATTTGTTTAAAATCACATTTCCCCTTCAAATTATCCACAAGCATATCATCAAATAGAGGCAAACCATATTAACTTCCAGGATTTTTTTCCCCTCAACATTCTAAACTGTGAAAAAAAAAAAACACAGTGAGGATTGCATTTCAAAACCATGCTGGGCATGTTTTCCACAATAGAGTAACTCAAGCAGTTCACTGAAGTTTAATGACTCACAAGAAAACCCCAAACGCCAGGCTTAGTTAGATCCCTGTGAGATCAGCAGCTTCATGTAACTCCACTGCTATTAGTCAAAGCTCCACAGATCTACCAGAGAAGTATCTAGTAAGCAATCATCTTATACAAGTATGCAGTAAAAAGCAGCAAGCATAAAAAAGCAGCTGTAGTTATTGAATAACTGTAGTTATTCCAGTAATACAACCATCACCATAACTTGTTTGTTTTGGACAATAAGCACATTGCCACGAAATCTGAGCCATTGCCAAAAAATTTATATGCAAACGTTTTATCTGTTGGAATAGTGATGCCACACCCACAAAAGTTATTTCAACACCTACTCTAATTACAAAGTCTGAATACACAATTAAGATAAGAATTTGGCAGAGAAAAAAAGCCTTTCCTAATTTAGGATTAACTGAGTGGCCACATGTAATTTTTGCAGACTTGTGTAGAAAATTTTGAAATTGAAAGATGAGTTTTCACACAGAACTGATGCATTTTCAACTGTACTGATTACCTTTACATATTTCACAACATAACACTTTCAGAATGATTTCCAAACGTTCAAATGTGTGATACTTGCCTTTACTCTGAGCTTCTCCTCTCTTGCATCTCCTGTTTGGCAGGCGTGGCAGGTGCTTCGCTCACGTCCTGTTTGGCAGGCGTGGCAGGCATCTCACCATTGACACTCTCCACGCCACTAACGGACATCAAGCTCTTCCTCTCTTTGGAGTTTGATTTGTGATCCACTTTTGTGACTCGAAATCTGAGGTGAGCAAAAGAAAGTGCAATTGTATTTCCCCACAGATGAGTTAGATCATTCTCAGGAGCAACAGCATAGAAGGAACACATTTCCAGGTCCCAAGAACAAGATATCAGAGCAGACACCTACGTGGATGCTGCTTCACTTCAGAGCATCTTCCTATCACCTACATATATTTCTAGTACTCACTACTGCTGAATCACACTTGCTTGTGTTTTGAAGCAGAATCCACAGATTGCATACCACTTCTTAGAATAGTGATTTTCAAAGACAACTACAGTCTAAGGCAGGCATTAAAAATAACTAAGAGAATGAAGCGGTTTCTGTAGCCTTACACTTACTTGACAAATACCAAATTCAGAAAAAGAAACATTTATTAGTGTGCAATTCTTGCTTCTTTTTAACCTGTATCAAATGAGCAAGAGCCTTAAATTTACACCAACAGTAAATCTCCATCTTTTTACATAGTTCTTAAAAAAAAAAAAAGAAAATCACATTTACTTCTTCCAGAAATAACTTCAGTCTAATAGTAACAGGGTTGTTAAAAAAAAAAAAAAATCACTGACCTTATAAACAGAGCAGAATCAGTGGATATCTGATCCAGCACTGGCCACTGTAGCATTCTAAGAGAAGTATACAACAAAATGACCTAAGCCTTACCTTCCCACAGAAAGGACTGTAACTTCTCCAATACGACTTCTTCTGTTCTCTTTAGATTTTTGAGCTGGCTTTATAAGGTGCCATCGTTTGTGACTACAGCGAGTACAAACATCCTTTTCCACCACTCCTCCGACAGTATGGAAGTGATGGGCTTTGCAGCTGTGTCTGAATGGAACAACACCTGGTGACAAAGGAGTCCCTGGACTCATTGGACTCTCAGGAGAGGTAGGAGATAACGGGCTGTAGGATAAAAAAAAAAGAAAATTTAATGTAAAAATAGTATTTTTAAAATACTATTTCTTAAAAAGGAAAAAGTATTAAATCAAACCTTCAGTTACGTCCAATGAATAACTAGTTTTTACAGGAAACATTTATTTGTGAGGATGTCTGGCTTACAATAGTATATTCTTGCAGTTAGAATCACTTTCACAAACTAATTCAGCTGCAGTCATGTGGTTAAGGTAACTAACACAAAAGGCAATTAAGAGGGGGGAAAAAATCAGCCTGAATAGAAGAGAACAGGTTATATGGACTCATATTGATGAAGACATTTAATAAGCTGATTACACTCAGAAAAAAACTACCTTGGAAAACTACAGAAAGTATTTCAGAATTGTTACAGGATCTCAAGGAACTCTAAGAAGAACACAGTCCCACAATATTGAAAGGAGGCAAAACTAAAATGTGTACCACAATGACTAGAGCAAACAACACCATTCAGTTTCAAGGCAAAAAAATAAAATGTTAAGTACCTAGAAAGAAAAAGCAGTACAACATCCAAAAGGCATTAACTAATGAGATTAACTAATCAAATCAATCTGATTTTCCTCAAAAACAGAAAAACAAACAGGTATCATAGACAGAAACCAGTTGTACTTATTTTTGGACTTTAGCATCAATTTTAACACTGTCTTGTAACACAGCAGGTCAGAGAGCATGAAAGGTGAAATAACTGTAGAGTAAGGCAGCAGACCTTGTAAAAAAATTAAAAACACATACAGAAAGTAATATCTGTAAATTGCTGTGAAACTGCAGAGACATACTAAATGTGGCTTTTTTTGGTCCTGGTAATATTCAGTGCTTTATACAGTTCACTGGGTAACAGAAAAGAAGAATAGCTAAAGTACCCATAGACTTTGGGTCACCCATAGCAACTGTAGAGATCGAGATAAGAAATTAAGATGAGAAGACAACATGCATATGAAAGACACTGACACATACACAAATCTTACTAAAAATACTGGATGTACTGCAGTAAGGACAACAAAAATTCTCGGTGTTTTAGCAGAAAGCCTTTACCTAAACCTAGATTAAAAAGCAACAAGACATATGACCATTCTTCAGAAAAAGAGGATCAGGAACATGAATCATTTACAATGTTTTTGCTTAAAAAGGACAAAACAGTGGAAATAACAGAAGTATAACTTGTGAACCTAAATTTACATTACTCAGCATTAATCATGCCAGATCTGATCCTACCATGCAGGTTTTGAAATGTTGTTTCAAGAAATACAAACTGCAGAGAGTCCAAAGGGGAACAGAAAGAACATGCCAGAGAAGACTGAGAGTTACTTGGATGCTTATTTTCAAAATAAAAATATTGACAAGAAATATTTAGTCTCCAAATATGTAAGAAAATGCTATTAAAGAAAATAAAAGTAGTTCAATACCTGAAGCAAAGACAGAACTAATGGTTTCAAGTGAGAGATGTGTAGATTTTACTCAGCCATAACTACTTCTATAATTAGGAAGTTTTATAGTGCACTGAACTTGCAAAGAAATACAGAGGATTTCTAGTTGATTAGAAAAGCTTCAGGAATATCTGTCAGATTCTGCGGGAACAATCATTTCCCCTCCTATTTACTCTTCATATTTTAATTCACCACTGAAACTAGTCTAAAATGCCCAAGATAACATTACACATGCCTATGCAAAAAATTCAAATAAATATCTCTACAGAACCACAGATACTTAAAAATATCTATACTTGAGAAGAAATCCCTTTGGAAATTCAAGTTTTTTTCAATAACCAAGCCTCTCACCATTAGAATAGGTGTTTAATGGTTGTTTACTTAACTCTGTTTTGCGGAAACTATATACTGCTACTTCTTTTATAGGTGACAGAATACTATTTGAACTTTTATCTCCTGTGCCTTGAATATGAACACAAGGTTATATATGAAGAGTATTGAGAATCTAGATATAGCTAAAAGTACTCAGGTACAAATACAAGCACTTTTACACATATGATGCATCTACAAGTTTTTTTACACATACAATGCACCTAAGGCAGAGATGCTTTCTCTACATAATTATCAGAACAGGTACGCAGTGAAAAATCTTAAAAGGTAGGTCAACCAATGTCTATTATCAAAATTATAAAGAAAAAAGTAAACTAAAAGCAGACACAGAAAAAGATGTCTTGTAAGTTAGCACCTATACAAATGAAATTAATGCTGTTCTGTTCTTTGAAGCCACAGTAGCTTTGGACTAAGCCACCTTGTACATAACTTCTCCCCAAAGTAAACCAGTATTTGCAGCATCTGTAAATCTTTAGCCCAAAATGCAGTAAAACTGTATCATGCACCTAGAACACATAACCAGAAGAGCCAGTCACTAACCCAGGATATATGTTAAATTTTAAGGACACAAACACAATGGAAAATCAAAATCTTATCCTCTTAGCTGGTAACTCAAGCAAGCAATGTAGTCTTAGAAGTGTTCAGGAAACAAAGTCCTTTGAAAGCATATGCTTTTAGTTGCCTCAGGAAACATGCATTAAAATGAGGAGTAATTACCTTTCAGGTTCAAAGACACTGCTATCTGCTACCATGGCCTTTAATACATCAGCATTTGCTGCAATGAGAATAAACAGAACTCTTCAAAAGTGAACGGTTCTAACTTCAGAAAAAAAACAAAACCAAAATCAAAGTTCCTCAAAGAAATTTCATTTAAAAGAAAGATGATTGCATTATGTATCTCCAAAAAAAATCACAAAAGAAAACTGCAGGGAAAAGAAGCTAATATAATTCTATGGGTAATCTTAACACAAACTACTAAAATTGCAGTTCATATTGCACTCAAACCTCCACCCCAATGCAAGCCATGAAACGCAGCCATCTACACAAAATTCTTGAACAAGATCTCTGAAACACCTCACCTATTTAACCCAAGTTCAGATTAAAAACATCAATTTAAGAGAGCTGTACAAAATGCAAATTCATTATCAGCCAAGACCTACCAATTGCTCACTTCCTATCAAAACACATGAATTACCTAATCCCAATCTCAAGGAAAAATACACAAACTCAAAGTCTAAAAAAACCCAAACAACAAAACCCAAAAATCCCCTCATGCAAACCCAAAACCATTGCTTTTCCAGAGGACTAGTTTCCATTCAGATGTAATTCAAAGCCAGTTCAATGGTCAGAACTCTGATTTATACAAATGTAAAATCAAAAGTTTCAAGGCTCTTGTCCCATAAAAACATCCAGTCTCCTAAACATTCCTTCCTACATTCTGAACTAACCAAGCATACCACGGTGTGCTTAACTATGGTTTTGTTTTCTCAGTCACATCTTCCTCTTTATCCTTTACTTCGCACACACATGCAGATAACATGTACAGAATTCAACATCAGTGCTATATACCCAATTGTCTCAGTTATGCACAAGCCTCTCATCAGACAAGAGCTGCAAGAATCACTTCAGGACAAGAAGTTTAATCTAGTCAAAACATAAAATTTCCACAGGCTTTAAATACTTCCACTAAGAAAGCAACCTTGAGCTTTTACCTCACAAACAAAGCAAAAGGCTGAACCAAAAAGACCCAAATACCTAAACAGTTAAAATATCTGGAAACGCAAGACCTGAATTTACCATACAAAACAATTTTCAAATAAGCAAGAAACTTCCCTATTGTCCCTGAAGTAACTGCCTTGTAAAGACAATTTCAAAGAGCTAAGAATGAACAAATTGGTAATTAAATGAAAGCACGTGAACATACCATACATAAGACTATCTGAAAAAAAATTTGTTATAGAATACCATCACAAGGGCTGCTAACTTCAATGGCACAATACTATACCTTCATTTTTCATGATGTAGTTAACAATTTGTCCCACAGTGTCACTATTCTCATGTATAGTTTCATTCATTTCTGTGCAAAGAAATAAACATGTTGTCAGTATCCTGGCCTTATGAATCAAGAACTGAACTATTTTAAAAATAAATAATGATAAAAAAGTCACAAACAAAACAGAACACACACCAAAAGAAACGACACTTTTAAAAAGAGGCAAGATCTGTTGTCACTATGGAGGGATAGCTTAGATAAGACTTTATCATCCTTATTCAGTAAAAACTATGAACATAGGTTTATCATCTGTACGTTAGCCCAAACAAATTCAGCTAAGAATTAATTAAGCTCAGTGTTTTCACATACATACTTCAAAATTCCTTCTCTAGATAGTAAGCAGGAGACAAATAAGAGAGCAGTATTTCTAATCCTAACAACAGGGACGGAAAAAAAAAAAACCAAAATGTTAAACTGTCTCACATCAGTATTCTAAAACAGATACTACAGGCTTTTAGTATGAGGGGGATTTAATTTCAGATTTTCATTACATTTACAAGGACGTAACAATTGATTCATTTTTTAAAAACTGAAAACTTTTGAAACAGAACGCACCCATTAACAATATTAAAAGCTCCCCTAGAATAATCTGCAAAGACTGAAGAAGATTAATTGAGGAACTAAAACAATGAAGAGGCAAAGCTGTGTCCTTCCTTAATAATTATAATGCTTTACTTAAAAAAATGGGGTTGAGGCAAGTTTGATAGGCTAGACTCTAAATTCCCCTTTTACGTAGTAAATTAGGCACTTCCTGATCTCTGTGCCTACACTTCATCTTAATACCTGCACTTTGCAATGTCACTTAGAGGCAGCTCCTTCCTGCCACTGAGACATAGGGCATGTCCCCGTTTCACTACCACTCCTGCTCCAGTCAGGGGAACAAACCGATCAGATAGCTCACTCACTGCACAGCTGCCCCAGGCAGTTAATGCTTAAGAACACACTGACACATCATTACTGCACCACATGGGTCTACCCTTACCACAGAGCCACCGCAATCTGCACTCATTATGAACCTACTGAAAGAAATTAATTGGGAGAAAGGAAGAAGAGTATTTACAAGTGACTTTAGTTCTTACTTACATTTTACAAATGCTATACCATGTTACTATAGGCCTTCCCACCTGGTAACACCCTTTTTTTCCTCAAGTAAGAATAGATGGGAATAAGGAACAATAAAAACAAGAGCACAAATGAACAAATGTTAGGATAAAAACAAAGGCATCTTTAAGGAAAAATTATAAGCAGCATTACATAAAACAGAATAAAGATATTCAGTCCAAGGGTTTGGTTTTATAAAGAGCGGGAAGAAGAGAATGACAGCACAACAGGAACAAATTAAGATTACAAAACATAAAACAAAGACTTTAGGCTTTAAATGGAAGCTTTTTGCCACTTCTCAGCTAGCACTATGTACACCAATACTTTGTTGTTAACAGCACGTAGAATGCAGAAAAATGATCTGGTGACTCCATCTGTGGAGCTGCAAACAAATATAGGGATACTTTGATCCCTCTGAAAGCTCTTACTTAACGTTAGCAGACTTGCATGGGAAAAGCGGAAGACGCCTGGATTTGACTGGCAGAGATCAAATCCCAAGTGACATGTCTCTACAAAAATATTGTTCTTAATACTGCTTTGATGTCAAATATAGACACAGAAATGACAGAAGACTCACAATAAATTATTTCATACTAGTAGCAATGTACAGAAATAGGAATTTTTTTATTAGACTTGATTACCTATTTTTTCATCAATTTTTTCTTCTTCTAGTTCTTCAGCTTCTGTTGTACAACGGTATCCTTTTTTCTTAAGGATATGGCAGATAAGGATCCCCACGAGACCCATGATGAAGAAAACAGGAACCAAAGCAAAGGCAATATACTCTAGGTGCTCAGCCTTGCCATCATTGCCATCCATTTTAGTTGTCAAAGTAGTTGTCTGTAAGCCATGGCTTGACAAAACCGAGGGAACCTCTCCATCTATGTAAATCAATAAACAAATGTATCACTATACACTGTACATCTCTTGAAAGAATTCAGAAAATTACAAGCATGGCCAAATCCCCACAGTACCTTCTGCAGTGATGAGGAAAACACATACTCTGCTGGCTGAGAACTTACACCAGAAACAGCAGATATTCCCTCTTCATCAAACAATTACAAACATCTAATATCCAAAAAGCCTGTGTGGTATTTCTTCAATATAACAGTGAAGAACCAACCATATTGTAGCCTAACAGGCTTGTTATCTCAAATAGAGGGCTCACATATTTCACAGAAGAGTAACACTACCATCACTTCTTGTTCTCATCAGCAAGGAAAATGCTATACCATTCCTCCAGTCCAAAGTGCAAGTAAAATTACCAATAAAATGTGAATCCTTCCCTAATATGAGAGTAAATACAGGAATTAATATTGACCCTTGCATAGAAAAATTATCAGGTGTGAAAGAAATAGCCTTGATTTCTATTTTTGACAGTGGGAATTCTCAAAAGAAAGAGCATCCACCCCCTACTCATCAGAATAAGGTGGGCTCATTTTTTGTCTGAGATCTGGAAATCATTTTGTATTTAGACTTGAAACAGGACATGAAAATTTTTTTTTTGCTTGCAAAGAATTTAAGCAGAAGCATTGTCACACACTATATCCACAATTAAGCACTTTTGTTTCATTTAAATTCTGAATTTCATAGATGCAAACTCTATGCTATAAAGTGGGATTCTGATCTATCAAAAGTATAGAATATTTACATTAGAAGGGACACTTGAAGTTCATCAGTCCAAATGCTGCCAAAAGCAGCACTGATTAGATCAGGTTTTGCAGGTGAGCTCCATCCAGATGATGAACGTTCCACATTTCTGGACAATCTCTTCAATATTAATATACTTTTACGTCCAATATACACAAAGAAACTAATACCACAGTACCTTCTCCCACATCAAAGTGTAAAAAGTTCAACAGCTCAGATAAATCCAAAATTACATGTTGCATACTCAAAACCTTTGCAAACCCTTAGAGCTTATACATATTACCCACCCTATACAATAAAAGTTTACACATTATTACTCCCAACCTGCATTTCTACCTTCTATTCTTCTCCTCCACTCCAGCTGAACATAATTTTTTGGAGTAGGAAATAATGACAACAAGGAAGTGTTTGTTATTTATCCATCTATTTCAAGATATTTCCCATCTACTTGTATTGAAATGGACAAGGAAATTCACAATTATTCCATTCATCAAACTGGCTGAAGAATAGAATAGTCAGCAGAAAACCATTTACATGACAGGGACACTTTCACAACACAAATCTATAGAATAATAATCCTTTCCTTTCAAAAACAAAAAAATGGAAGCCTCCAAAAATTTTCAGAAGGAGCGTTATTCCACAAACATCTCCCGCACTGACTGCATAACTACATTGCATTGAGAAACACCAGTAAGCTGATAGACAGCAAAGAGAAGTTTGCTATTTACCCTAGTTTTCTTTATTCCTCTAGAAACAGTAAACCTTTCATTTAAAAATATTTCTGAATTTTTCACAACAGTCTCAAATTGTCAGTTGGGTAGTATGAAATACGCAAGACTTGCTCGAAATGAAAACAATGGAAATTATTTGAAATAACAGCTGATAAACCCCAATTATCAACAAGAAAAAAAATGTATTAAGCATTTTGCTAAAAGAATTTCCTAGGAAATAGTAGAAATGCAGAAAAATTGAAAGAAGTGCAAACAAATTACTGAACACATCTCAAAATGTTAAAGCAGAATCTTGGGATATTTGCTTTGGACAAAACCAGATGGTCTAGTTTGTTCTCAAAACCAAAAGAGAAAGCTATTCACTTTTAAGAAGCTATTCACTTTTCAATCCTACAGATGACTTTATGCAGAATTTATCAACATGTAACCTTCAGAAGCTTTAACGTATGCCTGAGAAGGACAATTGAAAAATATCTACAATTTAACACTTTAAGGTTGCAGTTGTTTTATACTGCAAGGAAACAAAAGACAGGAAAGGGTAAAGGACAGAATCATGTAACTGAGAAAACTGATCTTACGTGCAATTTTTGCCACTTGGATTTACTTTGATTCTAAGAATTTATAATTCATGCACCCATTATAATTATAATTCATGCTTTAATATACCAAAATATATTTTTTTCCCTAACTCATCAGGTAGCAACCGCCATAAAGTACTCCAGTTAATCCACAGAAGTAGTTTCATTTACTAGGCAAGAGAAAAGCCATCACACCAGACAAGTATGACCTGTCTCAGAATCTAGGAAATCCAACTGAAACAGTATACATCACAAGCTCTTAAGGGTACTAATAAATAAGCACCTTTTATATTCAAATATAAGACAACAACAGGCAGGTATTTTGGATTTTATTGCACTGTATCGATTTTGGGAAACACCTCCCTACTATCAACATCCACTTGCTTGTCAAGCTATTTTGTGGAAGGGTCATAAAATTTATTCAACTCAGCTTCCTGGGTTTTCTGCCTCTCTTTGTGGCAAGAGTGGTACAGACTGCTCAAACAAGTATCTATTTTCTCCATAACTATGGCAGGCAATTCCCACCAAACCCAGAGAGCAAGGGGGGCTTTTTAACATAGAGGTCCATGCCTCAGGCTTTCCATGTCACAGTTCACTGCAATTCCTCCAGATCCAAAGTGGCTTCAGGAGGTCCCTTCCCATTCAGTTCTCTGCTATCCCACTCACTGTGCTCCTGACAGACTGTAACCCTGAAAACAGTTTTTAACTGGATTACTGAGATAACCAGGTTTCAAGAAACGAGGACACAAAAAGTCTTTCGTTTTTGAGCTGTCATTTTAATGACTCGGTATAGCCTGAGGTTTGGCAAACTCCTCTGTTAAGACAATCCACTGACTGAGTATGCTGAAGTGGGGAAAAAACAATGAGCAAGGATAGACAAGCACATCTAGAACAAACATCCCAGAGTAATCGTAGTAACTTGGAGCCACAGGTTCAGAGCATGTTCAAAAGAAAAGTAGCATTAATTATGTGCACAAAATGTTTAAATGTGAGGGCAGTATTCAAGGCCAGGCCTTGAGCAACCTGGTCTAGTGGGAAGTAGTTCAAGGAGGGCTGGGACTGAGCGATCTTTAAGGTCCCCTCCAATCCTCAGTATTCTATTATTCTATTAAAAGAAAGTATAATGTCCAACACAATTATTTTTAAATCATCAACTTGAAATCCCGTCAGCTTGACACAGCCACTGAAAACAGAGATAATATTTAACACCATCACCACCCTCCAAAAAAGCAAATTGTGCCTATACTTCCTCCAAAAGGAGAATTGTGCCTATACTGGCACTTTTTATACTGGCAGAAGAATGTTGAAAAAAATTATAATTTATCAACTGAATATTCTGTACTATAGATTAGTCTATTAATAGGGTTAAGGTTTACAGAGGTTTTGAACTGTGAAGGAAAACATACTTAGAAGTATTTCTTTCATTTAAAAATTCATTAAATGAACATGGATACTTCAACATACCAGATTATTTACATAGGCCTATGTAAATAGCCACTTTTCTTTGGTTGTAATTAGATACCTAAAATTCAACAAGAAACAAATATTACTAGTAAAACATTGTATCAATAACATATCTATAAAAACACGTTATTTACACAAAGTCCAGAAACTGCTTGATGCCATTCATTTTTTGTTCAGACACAAAAATTCATGAAAATCAATGCAAAAATCTCCTAGAAGAAATTAACTTAGCTAAATCAAGTACTTGGTGCTGTGTAACCTTACAAGCAGAGCAAAGCACACAGCTTTCATTATCAAACACCCTACACAGTCTGCCCTCAAAACCCTTAGCAATTATATCATAATGCAAAGCCAAACCTTGAGGACCTAAACAAGCAATACATTTTACATCCCAAGTCACAGCTACATCATCCATTGTACATTCCCTATTCCTTTTCCCCAGAGGCACATTATGCTTCTATCAGACTGTTGATAGTTCACCTCAGTCTCGTGATGCATGATGGTGTTTCTCAATGGTTTTAATCAGGCCATAGCAATCTTCCTTGACTTGAGACAATTCATAAAAGAACTGATTTGTTTCAGTGCTTTGCTGTCCTGGCATTTTTATACAGCAGTCATTGTTTATCAGTCTACATATGAAACTTATTTGAAGATGTAATCTAAATGAAATTGTTTAGAAGTGATATTCAGCACACTTAGTGATGCTTAAGCTGTAAAAATTAAATTGCACTCATGCTACTAATTCAGATCCCATGTACTCATTTGCTTAAAAATGAATATATGCCAAGTACTGCAATTGAACATTGCCTGCCCTTACTTTATCCTTACCTAAGATGTAAAATATAAAGATAGTCAACCTCAGACAAGTCTTTTGGTTCTAATCACTGTTACTCAGATACAAAGGTAGTGTTCTTCCACCTCAGCAATTGCTCAAGACAAATTACAGCACCTTCAGGAAACAGAATATAAGAGGAAAAAAGTTAGCAGGTAAGTAGAAAAATATTTTATGCTTCATTAAATTGCAATTTTTACATGGTATAGACAAACTTTTCATAAAACACATGAGAAATTTCTAGAAATATTTAATCTTAATCCTATTTTGCCCAAAGTACAACTCAGATTCTTGAAAAACAAATCTTTTTAATAACCAAGATCAAAACAGTTTAGTTCTTGTATTAGTAATATACAACTCAGCATTAAAATAATGCACTGTTTTCCTAAATCTCCTATACTAAATCTAGGTAGGATCTACACCCATCTGATTACTTTAAGCACATTCCCCTTGTTTTTGCATTGTTTAATTTAGAGAAATGATTCATAAACAACAATGCAATCTTCTCTCTGCTCTACTGGTAAAAAATCCCATTTAGTTACTCTGGATTTTGCCCATTATGCCCAAGCCATTTACCTTTTATGGCATGTCTCTGAAAAAGGTTTGTTTAAATGTTAAGGATTTGGTTATTTGAGCAATCTATCTGCTAAAAATAAGTACATATATATTCACTATCTTCTTGTCCATGAAGTTTAAGGAGTTACAGGATCATATTCCCTGCTTTTAGACATGGAAACACGGATATCAATCTCACAATATACAAACTATTGTTGGCCTTAATGCTAATTAATATTTAAACAAATTAAATATTATTACATATAACCTATTTAAGTACAACACAAATGAAATATTATGGTATGGCACATTATTTGCTAAAATATCTACGCTAAGCACAGCTGGAAAACATGCCTCAGTAGCAATATCAGCTTAGGCATTTCTCCCCCTCCTCACCAGTCAGGCCAGTCTATGCATCTGCAGAAAAAAGGGCCATCACTTATGGTTCAAATTAATCAGAGAGCATATTGTCTGCATAGGTGGGTTTTGGTTCTGTTTGGGGCTTTTCTGGTGCTTTGTCTTTTACTTTCTGTCATACCTGGATCACTCAATGATCAATTCACCACACAGACCTACACACTGCTGCTAAAAGCTTTGCTGAATCTTTCTGTGGCAATGCCACAAGGAGAAATGGTCAGGCAGCCTGTGAACCCAGCTCCCCCTGCAAGAGACACCTGATGATGATACTTAGTGCTTCATCCTCTCCTGGCTCTAGAGGAAGTATATTTTGAACTACATTAAACACTAACCACACTTCCTACCTCCAGGACAGATATCAAAGGTGCATGGATCATAGAATGATTTGGATTGGAAAGGACTTTAAGGACAATGTAATCCCAACCTGTCACCATTGGCTAAGACACCTTCACTAGATCAGACTGCTCCATCTGGATGTTCTCCTTCACTTAGAGCATTCCTTTTAAGTATCATTTAACGTAAAACTTCTTTTATGTTAAATTACATGCTTTCAAAATCAGGCATAAAAATAAAAACTCCTTGTTTATTAGCTCAATTTCCTAAGTACACACTAAATGCCAAAATCTCAAGAATTTAAGAAACTAACTTTACTTGAAAAACTTGAGTTTTAGTGAAGTCAATTCAATGCCAGCTTGTATCTCCTAGCATTTCAGAAGTGGTGGATATTTCCTCAGAAGAAAAGAAGTTCTAAATCAGTTGTATTCTTTCATTCAGTACCTTCAACTTACTCAGAGATACAGGATTCTATTAGAGATGCAGTAGTGGTTTCTATTATCAAGTAAAATTTAAATATTTTTAGATTCTTAATTTAGGCGCTTAGCAGGGAAATAATTTAGGTAAATCATTTAATCTGATGGTAATCATGTGTTCATTTAATACACATCTTTAATTATTTTACCAGTAGTAAATTTACCAAGAGTTTAATGCAACTTCAAAATAAATATACTTTTTACGAGTTATCTGATTCAAATAGCATTTATCTATTCTGGACACTACAGTTAAATTGCTTTTGCAAAGCTAAGCAGATGAAATTACTAGCAATTTCAATCACAAGACAAAATATACCACTGCCCAAAACACACAGACAAAAAAATAATTAGGAAACATTAGGACTTCTCTGCCTTACTAGTCAGGTGGTAGCTACAGAAGAGAGCACACAAACTATAAAAGTCAGTAAAGAAGAGGTTAAAAAAAAGTTTATTTTCTAGAGAAAAAAAAAAAAACTCTTAACTGAAGAAAACCTATTCCCTACCACTTGCTTTGTCTATTGTTCAAGGAAATTGTACTTCGGGGAATATGCTTAAAGTGAGTAACAAAAGAAAGCCAGCTATCATCGAAGAAGAACATTCAACATTTGTGAATTCCACTTAACTTCTAGCTTCCGTGTAGTAATCAGAACCTACAACCAGAAGTGAAATAAGCAGGAAGTGAGATGACAAAAAGGAAGCCACATGATGAAGGAACGTACTGACAACTAATAACACAATGCCAATTGCCTTAGAGGTTAAGCAGGGCTGATTAAGAATTTCTGTTAAGAGCAGACTTCAAAGCTTTCATCAGATTTGTCAAAAGCAGTATCTCAAGGAAGTAAGCAGAAGGATCAGCCAATTTTCCTTAAAGCTCATTCTAAATGCACCTACTTAGTGAACACCAACAGTAAGATCCAGGCAGCAAGTCTCAGGCATGACCCGAGACACCAAACAGCATCCATGGTACCCAACATTGTGTTCACAGCCATAAAACACCAAGCTTTTCAGAGTAAGTCAGGCCAGAGCCTGGTAGGAGTTCTTACATTAGAGACAAAATCTCTGGCACCAAAGTCACTACAAAAATTCTGACTGTAGGCAAATTTTGCAGGAGGTCTGGAAAGAGAGCCTTCTACTCTGAGAGGCAAGTCTCCACCCTGACAAGATCTTTACTAATGCTAATTTTTTCTGAATTACACACTCTACCAACACATTCAGTAAATTGCAGAAAGTTTTAGATTGGCTTCTTTGAAAGCCCGAGGGTAGGGTGGGGATTCAGAATGGAGATGCCTGCAATGTAAAATAGGTCCTACTCACAGCTAATATATAAATATATAGCTGGAAGTATTACTGTATAAAGCATATAAGAGTCAACGATTTTGAGTGCTGAAATAATTGCAGCAAGCATTGCAATTCCCTCACAGCCAGAGAGAGCTTGTGAAGAACCAACATGGAAGACCAAACATAGACAATCATATGTCCCCACACCATGAAGGCATCTGACATTATTTAGAATTCAATGAGAATAAAAAATAACAGTATATAGAGCAGTTTTGTCTTGCTGAGAAAGGGAAAAATTTAAATTTAAAGGGAAGTAAGATTTAGCCTGTTCACTGTGCAACACAGTATGTGGTTGATAATGCTGCATTAACACAGAGACAAAAAGCTTATGGTTCACTGTTTACCAGTACTAAATTGCAGTGCTTATGGTGTAATTGCTCTGGTCACTACTTGAGCAGCATATAGCTCCCACGGCAAAAATACATGGAACTGGTGCATTACATTTGTATTTCTGTTGGAAAATTGTTCCTCAAACTTCAGTTTTCAAATACAACACACTCTGCAAACAGCTACGGTACATTTAATAAAGCACATTTCACCAGTATGGCTGTTAAAAAGCAATTAACTAAAATCCTTCCTGGATACATCACCTATTTAGTACTATTGCATATCATTGGTTAAATTTATAAGTACAATCAGCATCTAGTGAGTAACACTAAATCAATGTCATCAAGCACATTGTATCAATGAATTTATGTAAGCTAACAACAATTCTCACTAGTTTACAGGAGTCAAAAATCAATTTTAACCCAAACCAAAGTATCTCTTATGGGAAGAGGTATACTGTGATCTCGAGATACTGCAGATACGTTGGCAGAAAGCACTTAGAAAACTGTGAGAAGAAAATTCTTTCATAGCTTTTGCCTCCCTTGCTAGACTTGCAAATTTTTAGCCTGCATAAGTACAACCCTATTCACCTAGACACCTGACTAAATTGCTGCTGTTTATTAAATCTATAAACGCACATAGCATACCAAGAATTCTCCACCCGCCTTCAAGTTCAATAAAGCAATCCTGAGTATAAACATTCGTAAAAAGTCAGTATAAACCTACATATACACATCCTTTCATTTACTAAAATATCTGTTTACAGCCTCTTCAAGATACCACTGGTAGGTAAACTGTGTAGTAATAACAGCATGTATAAACATGCAGTAATTCCCTGAAGTAACAGCCAAAGAGCAAACTGGTTTTTATCTGTTAACAAAAAAAAAAAAAGTATATATATATATATCCCCTCAGATAGCAGCCACCAGGCAACATAAATCTGAACTTCAGGGCGCCTAGTGGTACTAAAAAGCACACTTCAGACTACACAGGCAACAAATTTGGTTTCGAGATTACCAGTAGCACAATAGCTGTGGTTAGACATTAAAAAATGTCATTTTAGACTAACTTCCTCTGCAGATTGTATGTGTGCAAGGGCTCTTCAGAGTTCCCAAGGGTTACAGTCAACTTTTCATTTCCAAAACCTAAACACTAAGCCAAGCTTAACCTCACAAGTGAGGATAAAACAATACTTTAATGCACTTCTATCTTATCATCAGATTCCAGCTGAAGTGAATCAACTACGAGGAGTTGTCAGACTCGAGCTCGTACAGCTCCTTATAGTTTTCGGTTGGATTTTTGTTTTCCCCTCTCCACTCCTGGCCATGCTGTCCCATACCCCCAGGCCGGGCTGTCGCTACAGCAAGCACCCGCAGCCCGCCCGAGCAGCGCCCGCCCGAGCGCCCCCGCCGCGCTGACAGGCGGGAGAAACTTCACCGCGGAGCCGCGACCTCTTCCCAGCCCGCTCCCCCGGGCTGCCGGGGCGGAGGGGAACGCGCCTCTCCTTGCCGCTCTCCTCCCTCGTTCCCCGCGGAGACTAGAGCGCCGCGGACCCCGAGGAAACCGCGTCGGGCCCCGGCAGAAGCAGCAGGCTCAGCTCAGACATCCGAGCGGCGAGCGAGGCCGTGCTGCCCAGCGAGGTCAGCCGGCGGAGCCGTAAAAGGGCCGCCGGCGGGGAACGAGGGGGTCGCGGATTGAAGCGTCCCACCGCGGCGAAGGACCGAGGCCGCAGCAACCCACCGAGAGCGGAGCTGTTGCCCAGCCCGTCAGCCATCAGGCCCAGCGATGGCGCAGTCGGCGGCATCCCGCCGGTCGCTGCCGGAGCCTTTCTCGATGCCCGCGCTGCGGCGCGTTGGCAGCGGGGCCGCTGCCGCCCTGCCCGGCCCGGCCCGGCCCAGCGGCGGCAGGACGCGCCCTGCCCGCACGGCGCCTGCGCGGGGCCGCCGGCCCGGGGCGGTGCCGCCCCGCAGCGCCCGCCCTGCTGGGGTTGCTGTGGGCAGCGGCGGTCCGCCTGCTGCTCAGTTGCACCGGGGCTGCAAGGCGCTTGTTGTACGCTCCCGTGGGGCTTACCCGAAGGCACCCCGCACATGAGTTTAGTATTACAGCTCCCAGACGTGATTTCCTGAGCCCGGCAACCGCAACGCTGGGGTGCGGCGAGGGGGCCAGATGGGCGCGGGGCATCGTGTCCTGAAGGGCCCGAGTGACTCCTTGACGCGTTTGCATGGCACTGGTCGTGTGCCACAATGGCTCCCGAGTGCCTGGGGTGCAGGGCTGCCCTCGGGGGAGCCTTTCCCCCAGGCAGGTTTGGGTGTGTCTTCCAATGGGTTTCAGCTGTGGCCAGGGAAAGTTTCTCTGCCGCTGCTGCCTCAGGGGCCGTCTCGTTATGCTGGCAGCGTCTGGAGCAATTGAGCCGCACCAGCATGGAGCCTGTTCCTGCATGGAAGATTCTTCCTGTAAGGGCAAGGCAGTGCACCTGCCCCGAGGAGCCACAGGGACTTGTGAAGTCGCTGCCACCACGGCAGCATTATCACCAGGACACACAAGCATTCAGAAACTAAATGTGGCCCTGGATTCACTGTCCCTTAGCATGCGAGGGCATTGCTTCCACTCACTCTGTTGCCTCTTCCCATGCACTAGGCCTGAAATTCATGCTTTATTCCATAAATCTTCACTGCTAAACTTGAGCTTGGTTTTATACTCTGGTAAACTAACTCACATGATTAGAGCTTGGCCCACTTTGTATTTCAGCAGCTACAGCTGGACTTTCCTACTGGCATGACATGAAACTAAAGACTTATTCTTGTAGCAAGGCAGAGGCAACTTTGGGTTCCCAGTACTTCCAAATAGAATACTCTAAATTATTCTAACCTAAATAATTTATTGACTCCCTATTACTGATTTTGAATACCTAAGGTAAACTCCACTCGTTTAAGATACAATATTGCAATAATTATAAAGACAGATTTTTGAATGGGTTTTTTCATCTGGTATCAACATTGTGCACAGAAATACCCTTATCAGCCCCTAACTAGACCCATCCACAGGTAGATTCAGAATACCAGACTGGCAGCTTCCTGTTTGGGACAATCACCCTGATACCTCCTCTCACTACTTCCCAGTCTCCTTTTCTAGTAAAAAAAATATGCAGAAAATTATGTATTGTAAATGCAGGCGAACCCAATGGGAAGAAATGATGATATCTGACTCAATTCAGAAGGCTGAATTATTTCTTTATTATAACTATGCTAAAATACAATAATATACTATATAAAAGGAGGATACTAAAAGTACATACAACTTTCTCTGACTCTAACTCTCTCACAACTCGTGACCCTCTCTTGAGAGTCCAGACACAGGTGGATTGGATTGGCCATCAGGCTCAAACAATCATCACCAGAATCCAATCAAGCACTCAGTCCAGGTAAACAATTCTCCAAACACATTCCACATAGGAAAAACAAGAAGCAGAAATAGAAATTGTTTTCTCTTTCATTTCTCTCTGTGCACCTCTATGAAAAATCCTGAGAGGGTGAGAAATGTGCTTGCCACAATTATGTTCTCAAAAACAGTACATAAGTACCATTTCTGCAATAGACAGAAGTGCTCTGGAAATAATGAGTTTTAACCCTTTTCCTCTGTGCTTGACTGTCAGCTCTATTCATGGCACTAACTGTAGCTACTATTTTTTATGCAATTTTTTTTTTTTGGAGATACAAGTATTAAAAGATTAGGGTGATTCAGTATGTGAGATGTTTATAGTTGGAAATACCTCTTCTCAGTCACGTAGACAACCAAAACCATGAAAACTCAGATTTTCTTACTACTTAGTGCAAGACTTATCTGTTTATAAACTAAACTAATGAGGAACTAGCAGAGCTGTCCTTTTCAACACAATAGGCAGTCAAGAAGCAGGACACAGGGTTCTTTGCATTTTTAAAAACAATTATTTCTTCCTCTTAGGTTTTCTACAGAAAGTACTGTGCTTACCTCAGTTGCCTCTGCTCCGTCTCTTACACTTTTATTTACTTTTGTTTGAGGGTGTGGTTCTCTGTCAGCTGCTCTCAGTGTCACAAGAATGACAGACTTGGAGAGATATAAAATATTCCTTCTCTTTTGGGCAAAGTGCAGCACTGCAGATCCCAGCAGAAAGGAAATGGCAAAATGCAGCAGGATTACTGACCCATGTCTGCCTACACGAAACAAGCTCACCAGAGGTAGGGTTTAACTCAATCTCCCTCTGACTTCAGAAAGAAAGACAGTGCTTTTTCTTTTATTTTTTCCTTTTAAGATTGGGGAACTAATCTGGTTTTACAAGCAGGGAATTGGCACAGTTTCTGAGGCAGTAGCTTCCTGCCCTTCTTCATCCACTGGGACAAACACCCTTGGGCATGGGGAAGCTATCAAATTAGCTTTGCCACTAGAAGATCTGTGAAACCATCTGTCAGCTTTTATGAAAAATAATAAATCTCACTCAAAACATCACTAAGTTTCCTTGACAGTCTCAAAACTAATTTTCAATGAGGTTTAATTGGCCCAATCTATGTCACTTATTCGTCATGATTTCTAGAATGCATATTTGGTTTGTTCCTATTACTGGAAGATGCAATCAGTTGGGAAATATGCAAGCAGTTTTTCTATTGCAAAGTAGTCAAGAAATTTTGTTTAAGTAGTATTTGGCTCTACCCACTACTAAGTCTTGAAACTTCGGACTAAATTCCAGTGTTGAATTTCTTTATTGGAAGACCTTTTCAGGATTTCATTTTTATTGGTAATAATGCCTGAACAAACCAGAAAACTAATTGTCCTCATTTGTAAAAGTTACAGAAATAATAAACATTGGCAGAAGTAAGTAGAAGACAGGAACCATTGTTTGCACATCTTAAGTAGTGTGGTCTTAAACATCACAACAAAGAAAGTAACACTGGAAATCTCATGTCATCAACCCTTTTATGTGACTTAATGAGATACTTTATACTGAACTAGCAGGATGCTAATTTCACAATTAATTATATGTATATGTAATTACATATTGAAATCCATCTATTTCAAGTATGCACAAATACCTCAGTGTAAAACTAATCAATGCTAGTGCTAGTAAAACGTGAATAATTGAAATTCCCTTTGAAAATCAAATTATACATAACCCACATAACTTAATTGCTCAGTTTTATTGCTAGAATCACAGTTAATGCTGTCTCTGTTTTCTAAGCATCCTTTCCACAAGCATTTTTGTATGTATTATCTATATATTCAAGGCAAAAATAATTCCAAAAGCTGCACCCAAATGTTAACAGTATTTAAAACATGTATACGCATCAAAGTACTCCTTGGGAGTGGTAACTTACCTGATGGTTACTTTATACCTTGTGTATTTATTTATGGAAAATGATGTATTGAAAGTAAAAATTCCTAGACCCAGACAATATAACCCACCTTGGTGTTCCATGTTTGGCTGTGGTGCTTAGCTGCATAGTGGAATTAAACCCCAACACTTGGAAACACTTGGTATTTCTGACTCAAAGTAGCTATATTATCAAGCCATTAGTGATGGAAAAGTGGTAAGGAATTCTCCCAGCAAACGATATAAAAGCTAGATTGCTAATTAGTGCTTTCCACTTTTCCCAGCAAGCTGCTGTTTCTGATGATGAAAGTAAAAGCACTTTTGAAAGGTGTTGTTAATGGGCAACCTGGTCTAGTGGAAGGTGTGTGTTCCCTGCCCATGGCAGGGAGGTTGGAGCTATTAAGGTCCCTTCCAGCCCAAGCTATTCTGCAATTCCATGATTCTTACACAGAAAAATAAATCCCTAAACCTAACAAAGCTGTAAAGAAGATACAGTTCTGCATTAAGATTCTGAATTTTATACTCGAAAAATTGCCCAGTTTTACAATATTTCAGCCTTCAGGTTGAGAAAATATCAGTAGAGGAACTAAGCTATAAGGGTAGTATATTTCTAGAAGAAATCTCTCCCGCTTAGTCTCTTTATCTCCCTGTATTTTTCATGACACTTCTAATGAAGTAATCAGTTTTGTTACCGATTTTGTTACCCAAAGGTCTTTGTAAGTAGGAGTTCAGTTTCAATTTTATCTGTACATTTGCAAGGTCAGGAGTCAGGTGGCTGACATCTTACAGGGAAATAGTTTAAGCACTAGATTTTTGGTTTGGGAAGGACTGTCTTCCCTTTGTTTGTAATGAGTTCCACTGATGAGGATAAAATCTGTTTCTCTGGTTCAGAGAGAATAAAAAAAATGGACTTGGTTCTACTTGCCAGAGAAAAGAGTAAGATTATTGATGCTGTCCCAAGGACAGAGCCAATATTTTACAGTCGTTTGTATGTGGATTGGAAAAAAACTCTTGGAAACCAGAATTGGAGCTTAGCACACCCCTCCAGGATGCCAGCCCTTAACCTTATAGCAGTTGTTGTAGGATATAAAGAGGGAGGTGGGGCAATTAGCTTTAATTCTTAAAGCTTTAACTACGCTTAGCCATGCTTAGCTTAAACCATGTTGTGGTTGCCATTACGTCTCCTGAGATGCCAGTTCCTGATGGTACTCAATAGGTGCTCCCCAGGAGTGCCTGGTATTCAGAGCTTTCCTCAGGGGACTGAAGAAGAATGTTGATATTCTGGATGCTAACCAGGTTTGGGCATGATATGCCATTAACTTGGTGCTAGGCTTCAAACCAAACATGTCTTCAAATGCCTTAGGAGACTTTATGCTATGGCTCTTAGGAAGCTCAGGTTCTTCCTAGATTAATCAACAGCTTTGGGCTTTAGTGGAATATAAGGAGTTCCATGTTATTAGATAAGTTCTTTGGAACATAGATGAG